AAATTAGAATTTGAGACTTGATCAGATTTTAAGTTTTCCTATGTATGAGTCCATACATTTGACGTGTTTCGTGAGATTGTTGTCAGCTTAAACCTTCCTTTTAGCAAATCCTTTTCCTGCCACCGGACTATTGTGTGACAGAAAAAGAAGTTTGCAAATATGTACTCTAAGTTGAGTGCCCAAGAAAACATTTAAAGCGACAATATGTCAGTCCTTCGACTTTCTTTGTGTTCTATGAGTAGTAAGTACTGGGATACAGAAATAAGACTATCCTGCACTCTAAGATCTCAGGCTATAGGAAAATGTACACTTGAATATGTGTTAGAGGCTGTGATGGAGTAAATATAAGGTGCTGATGGGAACAGTTAGGACATCACGTCGGATTGGTGTGGGGAAGAAGTAGTTAGACTGACTTCCATTTAAAATTAATTTATTCCCTGCATAGGTAATGCACTTTTACAGTTCAAAATTCAAAATATACAAGAATATAAATTGAAAACCTCTCTGCCACCTCTGTCATCCCGTCACCCAGTTTCTGTCCTCAAAAGCAATCCAATATTGTGCATTCTTCTGAAGCTAACTCTTGAACTGAATCTTAAAAGGGTTTTTCAGATTAGGTCACTAATAAGAGGATGACTATCCAAGTGGAGGGAGAAGGCAGTTTGTGTAACAATGTCAAAGAGTGAGAATATGTCAGATTTGGAAAATGATGTGATTATTGATGGAACCCGGGGTGAAGGGCTTAACTGTCATGGTAAGAAGTTGAGATTTTTATCGTAAGTTTATGATTGCTATTAAAGGTGTTTTTTGAAGCTTTTATCGTTAAAGTAGTACATATCTTGGAACCATGGCGATACCCTTTTCAGTGATTATTCTAACTTTTAAGTAAAATCTTGTGGTACAGTTGTGTCTAAGGAAATCCTGGGGGAGCTCTGAATCCCAGAAGTCAGGATTCTCATCCAGTGGCATGTACTAAATAGCTTGGTTTACCTAGCTCCAAGTTTAAGTATTCTGTTTGCCTCACTGTTACCTTAATGATAATATATTTGGTATATGTTAAGATACTCTACCAAAAGTTGATTTTTATACAGCATAATTTTGGAAACTGTAACCTTATATTAAACACAAACCAGGCTTAGTTGTGGCAGGCCCTGTGTATACATAATCTCATTTGATTTTTTCAGCAACTGTAAGGAAGTCTTTTCCTCCCTTTTTTATGGATTAAGGAAACTGAGACTTTGAGCATTTGAGTCACACAGCATTAAGCGACAAAGCATAGCTTCAGACTCAGGCCTTCTAAGTTCAAAGCCAGTGCTCTTGGATATTCCCAGAGTCAATTTTGTTTTTTATTGCTTTGCTGCCTGTAAGATAGGAAGAAAGAAAAGCTGCTGTAGCCACTTATCTGTTGTGTTGTAACCATTTACCTAAAGGATCTTTTTAATCATTTAAAATCCCTAGATGATAATGTTGGAGATGGCCCTTGTTGTTGTTCTGCTTATTGTATGTCCTTGGGTTCTATTTAGAGATTCTCTGAAGTTGAGTTTTGACGTAAGAGAAGGAGAAAGTATTCGCTGAGTGCAGTGTTCGTGTACCTCATCCTTTAAGCTGCGATTTTTGTAGCATAGTTTTGAGGTATACTATATATGTATGTTTTTCCTCTGTTATAGTTACCCTACAAAGATAGTATCTTAGTAAAGCAGGTAGACATATGTCACATTTTGAGTCACTTTGTGATGTACTGGTTTCGTGTACTTGGAAACTAATGTGACAGACTAGTGTATAAAGTCAGGGAGAAAAGAATATATTTTCTTCATTGGTTTTGAAAAATGTCTACAAATAGGAAAACAGCATTTTTATTTAGGTGGCTGATATAAATTCAGAATAAACCACACCTCAGTCTTCCTAAGAAGTGCTTCATTGGCTCTATACTTAGATTAGTAGTTTACCTTGACATCAAATATGTTGTTAGAAAACTGATTTAAAATTTTATTTTTTGGGCAGAAGAGAATTTGTGACTAAAGCTGCATAAAACTCATTATTTCTTTCTAATAAATTTTTAATATGTCAGTTGCCTCTTGATGCCTTCAGATTTCATAGACTGTAATGTAACCTTGAAATGATCCCCATTAACAGTGTTTTTCTTGGGCTCTTAATTTCCTCGGTTTTATGCCATTCCAAAACAGAAGCCTTTGATGATCAGGCCTTTCGGTATTTACAAATGGCTCTTTTGAAGTTCTTGATCAGCTAGGTTTCACAGACTTGACTCCTTTAATCTATGCCTGTTAATCAATGTTTTGAGACTAATAATTGTTGCTATTTGCTAAAAATCCCTCAGTTTATGGATAACATCCCAGCTGAAGTATTCAAGAAACCAAAAATTTCATATTTTATTGTAAGACTTTCTAAATGTTTATCCATGGAATCTAGACTATTTAAATTTTTCTGTAGTACCTACATTGTATAACTCCATACAGCTTCTTCATTTTGAATATATGTAGAAAGTGATTAACTGCCAGCTTTTGCAACCTTAGTGTATTTGTTCTGAGATGTTCTAAAGACTTTAGTTCCATTTATAGTATTTAATTTCACAAGTTCTTTTCTTGCCCTAGGATCTACAACTAACTACAGATATGCTCTTTTTTTACTTCTACATTTGACTTATGAGAAATGTTTCATTATTGGAGTGTATGCTGTAAAAATGCTGGAATTTTGTAACTTAAGTCATATGACTTCATTTAAAACAGATTTATTTGGCATATGAATTTGATTCAAATTAAATATATATGTATATATTTTTCTGAAGTCGGGGGGTCTGAAGTTCTTTTAAAGAGAGTCATCCTTCTAAATGTATTATAGATACTCTTTAATGAATTTTAAATTCCAGACTTGCAGAGTAACTTCCAAGTTTACTCTTTGTTATTCTCTTGTATTTACTACCTTCCTCTTGGAGTTACTCTGTTTATTTTAAACCCAAGGTCTCCAAACAGACCTGTGCGAATAGCAGACTTGTTCCCATATGGTCCTGGCTAAGCCTGGTAAAAAAGCCAAATTGAGTTTTCAGTTGGTTCAGTTGGCTTCATTTAATTTGGCAGCCTGATTTTTAAGTACAGTGAAAAAGGAGCCTGACAAATATATCTTGAGAGGACACAAGCTGTTAAATAAACAGTGGTTAGTAGCCTCTTAATCCTTCCTTGATATTAGTTGATCTAATCGGTGCCTTTGATTGCCTTAGACCTAGTCAAGAGGACAGTAGAGAAAGGGTTAAAAAAATCGAAAGGAGTTGAAGTAGGGTAAGCAAAGAGAAGTTCACATAGTGAAGACTCCTCATTAATCAAACAGTTGTTTTGGTGACACCCTGGCATCTAGTGTCTGTCTGCCTTTCCTAGTTGTGCATCATCTAAGGTATAGCCTACTGGTTAAAATTAAAAATGTCTTCTAAAAAATATTTTTTAAAAATTCAGTAGATAACACAGGTCTTAATCTGAGTTTTAAAGTCATTGAATTCTATGGAGTATTTGTTTTGTTTGATGATCATTGATACTTGACTGCTATTCCAGTAGAAATTGGAAATAGTTTTCTTATTGTACTAATAATACTGCAGAGACTCTCTTAAGGTACTTGTTAGGGTCTCAGAATTGACATGTTGTATCTGAACCTCATTTCGATGATAGAATTATTGAGCTGTCGTTTATTGAGCATTGACTGTATGCCAGGAGCTTTACATATAGTCTCAGTTCTTGAAGCACTTTGCAAGTCTAGATAGTACTATCGCCATTTAACTGATAGAGAGACAAACGTAGAAAAATTAAAATTTAACTCTGCTGTATGTTTAGCATAGTGGTTAAGAGCATAAACTCTGGGACCAGATTGCCAGCTACTAGTTCCATGACATCAGGCAAGATACTTCTTTCTGACCCAGTTTTCTTGTGAGATGGGAACAATAATTACACCTACCTCTTAGGGCTGTTATAGAATTGAGTTAATAAGTGTGAAAAACTTAGAGTAGTGTCTGGTATATAATAAGAACATATATTCTTAGCTTGCTGCTGTTATTCTGCTGTAGCATGGTTCAGGAATTTTAGAAGCAATGTGGCAAGTTTTTGTTAGCTCCCTAATGTACGGGTTGGAGGTGGGGGAGACTATGGAAATATGCTGAGGTGGAGGGAGAACTGTTAGAGAGCAGGTTTGTCAGAAGTTTAGTCCCCTGAGAAACCGCTCCTCAGATGTGCGGTGAATCATGTAAGCTGGGAGCTTGCCCCATGAACCCATCAGTTAAAATTCTATGGTTAAAGCCCTAGCGAATGTGTTGCCAGGGACTGGTAGAAATGGATGGTGATTAAGGTGTATAAGCTCTTACCCCTTAAAGGGGCACTGTCCTAATGCAAGAAATTGGAAAGCTGCTGTACAGTTGCAGCACCATTTTTTGCCGTAACCCAGAGAAGCCACACATAAATAAATGGATTCTGAAGGTGGAAATTGTGTCAAGTCCAACGCAGAAAAGAACTCATTGTTCATCATCAAACCCTGTCAAATCTAAAAATGAGGAATTTTTGCATTATGAAGGTTATAGCTTATTTTACATGAATACTGTACCTGAGAACAGCTTTGTTAGACTGCTGAACTTACAGGTATTCATAAAGGCATCTGATACAGAGTTGTGTTGATTAGCCTATGAACTGGTCACATTCACATGTATATAAATGTATATACACACACACATAGACACACACACAATTGGATGCTAGTTAGTATTGAATTTTATCTGTATTACCCCTTTCTTTCAGAACTGTGAATTGTTGGGGTCTGCTGGATTTTGGATTTCTTCCAGTTTTTTCATTTCTTTCACAATGTTTTTGAGAAAGCTTATGTGGTTTTTTTCCTCTTTACTAAAGCAGTTACACTGTATTAGAAATCTAAAATCTTCCAGCTTTTTTTTTGAAAAGTAGTGATTTTACTGTACTTTCTCAACCTCATTTCCATTTGATTCTTGGATCTCACAGGAATCCTTCAACTGCTTTCTACCAAGCGTTCCATTTGAACACGTTTCAGGAATCAAAGAACCTCTGGGATAGGTATGAATACTTACATATGGAATGCATACATGCAGAAGGGTATGCATGAATCGCTTTGCACTGTACTGGTTTTTATACTGATCTTTATTTGTTATTTTAGTGAGGGGGGGAATCATGTAGTATCTAGCATGGGACAAAGCAGCAAAATAAACCAAAAAGACAATCTATATTTTAAATAAAATATAAACATACTTTTTACTGCACTTTTAAATATATTTACTTTTTGGAAGGATTTACATATTCTGCTGGATTTTATTATATGAAATATCCATTTTACCCTTATGTATTTTAATGCAAAAACATATTCTATAAAATAAACTACCTACAGTTATTTTAATTTTGTGCTATTTTATAAGATTTCTCTGTAAAAGCCTTAATGACTCAAAGCAAAATGTTATTTCATATTAAGAAATTGGAGGAGGGAAAGACCAAGGTATCAAAATAGTAGCCATTGTTTACTTCTTGGCAAGAAACTTTAACATAAAGCTTGTTTACTAAAATTTATTAGATCTGCATTACTGTTTTGTAAACCCCTAAAGTGGTGTGTTTTCTCACAGAAATGTTGTAGAAATTTTATTTTAACTTTTTAAAATATAGAACGAAGCCTTGGAGTTCATTTATGGTAAAAGATACTTTGGTTTATCTTTCTGCTTAATAGAGATTTTAAATACTATATGCTCTGGTCAGTTATTTTGCTGAATATTTATTAGCACTCCATCATTCTGTGTCTAATAAATAGGAGTTGAGCACAAGCAGTGTTTTTAAAATTCACGCAAAGCTTTGTTAGATTCTTTTAACTCTGCCTGGCAACGCACTTGTGTCCTCTGGCATAGCTTGGATAATGCTCATGAACTCAACTCCATCTCTTTCATTAAGAAAGAGTATTGCTAAGTGCATGTACATGTCATGTTAAGACATGGTCTCCTTTGCCTAGAAATGGTAACAGTCTTTTAATTCTTAGGCTTGATTTGCTGTGTGTGTCACTGTAAAGAAATTTCCTAAAAAGTGTATTTTAAGTGATGTGTTCCTTACTCAACTAAAAATATTTTAAAATAGCTACTTGTAGAACAAGAAGTTTTAAAATTTATAGTACCATGTTTACAAAGTCAGTTTCTAAATTGTACAGCTATAGCAATATAAATTATGACATAAGTGTGAATTGTGGCATGAAACAAGCATGCAGGTTTAATCATTCAAATGACTACCAGATGTATGTAGCCAGGGCGGGTACTTTGGGGTGTACTTTATACTTTTCCCTTAGAAAAAGGAAAAATAGCAGTCTATTTAGAAATGTAATAAGGATAGTTTTCGGATGTATGGTAATTTATTTCAAATAGCTACCTTTTGTGAGCTACCATGACATCAATATGAATATCTATTATTTTCATCAAAACAATGTAGAAAGGTTTGAGCTTTATTTTTTATAATTTGGATCTACAGTTAAAAGGTTTCTTCTACTTCATTATAAAACCATAGAAGTTTCCTGCTCATACTTACAGCTATAAATACTCCTTATCTATTTTCTTTTTTAGATACCAGAAACATTTAAGGTATCAGAAATGAGGCAAGTTGCTGTATCTTAGTTTCTCATGGGTTGCAATTATTTTCTCTTCTTCTTGTAGTCTGTTGTCCAGAGCCAAAGAAGTTAACGGATACTTGTCTATAGTGTGTTAAGGCTAAAATATAATCAGAACTTATATTCTGTATCAGCCATTCTTCACTGTAAGTTGGCCTGTTGGTACCAAGGTGACAAGCCCAACCCAGTAGAAACTGACTAGTGGCTTCCTTTTAACTTTTCAACTAGCTTATTAAATTTCCAGTTGAGCAGTAGTGGCTAGCTTTATTAGTTCTGACTATCTACAACTTCAGTTGGCCAATATCTACAGACTTTTTTTATAGGCGTGTTAGCTAATCAAGTATTGTGGGACTGTTTATTCTTTTTCATTGCAGACGGGGGTTGAAGATTTGTGTGTGTTGAGCTTTAAAAATATTAACTATAACTTCTCCTGAGCTTGTGTGTGTTAGATCTCACCAAATTGCCATGTTCATTTTTTACTATTATAGATATAGGATTTTTAAAAATTTTACTACTAGTTTGGCAAGTAAGTATTTTGCAGGGATGATTCTATTAAATAGAACCATTCAGGAGTTTAAAGGACTATAAATTCCTTACATCATCTACTTACTTTGAAATATAAATTTGCCTATCACTGTTGATCGATACCATATTTCAGGCTCCTATTTATGAAATCTTGGAAATCATCTTCAGTAGGGGCAGCTTTTAAGCACTGTGGCAATTTTCATTAAACCTACCCTACGTAACTGAAGACTCTTGGTTTTGCCTTGCTTGAAAGACTGGAATCTTTTTTTCCAGGATTCTTTTAGCAGGGTATGTTCTATTCAAAATATAAATAACTAATATAGCTTTCTCACATTGATTTAGAGTTGCCTAATGGCCCCTGTGTTTTCTTCCCTATTTAAATTAGAATTAGCAAGTTGAGAAGCTTTTCACCAGTCTACCTCTGCCTATATTTAGATATTCTCTCTTTCTGTTGGTATCCAGTGCTTAATTCAGTTATTGTACTAAAGTTGAAGCTACTGTCAAGCCTTCCTTTCCCTTTTCCTGTAGGTGCCATCATTGTTTTCTGTCTTCTCCATTTGTCCTTTGCGGAGTCCTCAGGGAATCAATCAGGTGAAACCATTGCCAAATATAAGAACAATATAGATACTGATAGCTCAAAAATAATACAGTCCTTTCTTAGGAAGCCCAAACTGTTTACGTTGACTCTTTATTAAAAGAAATGATATAGCTCCCATAATTAGCTTTCTGGAGACTATCTTAACTATGAAGAAATCAATTTTTTTGTGTGTTTGTGTGAGGAAGATTGGCCCTGAGCTAACATCTGCCAGTCCTCCTCTTTTTGCTGAGGAAGGCTGGCCCTGGGCTAACATCTGTGCCCATCTTCCTCTACTTTATATGGGACGCCGCCACAGCATGGCTTGGCAAGTGGTGCATTGGTGCGCGCCTGGGATCTGAACCGGCGAACCCCGGGCCGCCGCAGCGGAGCACGCGCACTTAACCACTTGCACCACGGGGCCAGCCCCTGAAGAAATCAATTTTTAATGCTATCCTAGCCTGTTGGCATTTCAGAATAGTAACTTTAAAACTTGACTTCTTATTTTTCTTTTTAAAGAATAGCTTTCCAAAAGTTAATTATTGGCATTGCTTTGTTAAATCAATAGAATTAGTTTAGAAACCTATCCTGATGATCACTGGGGAGCAGGCTCTCGTTGGCAGTCCTTTATCTGCAAAAGCTCAAGTTAAGAATTTATAGCAGTTTTACCCTCTTGTAAATGTCAAGTAAGTAAGGTAAAGGAGTACTGGAGGGAAGAAACTTTAGCTCAGGTAGACTAAAGGAAGGAATCAGGTAGCTTGCAAGGATTTAACCTTTTCGATAAACACTTGTAGTATTTATGCCTTAATGAAGAAAATGTGTAAATGTAGTTAACAGGTGAGAGTTAACAGTTGCTTAGGGCACCATCCCCTTGAGTCGGCTCGTCCTTCCTTATGATAGCACCAATATTTAAAGAGAAATGAATAGGGAACGTAGTACACATGGGTTATTAACATAAAGTGAATGTCTAAGTAGGTTTATGGTATGTCTTTTACTAGATACTTGATGAAAGTTCTTGTTTAAATAACCTCAAGTATTTTGTGTTAGAAAAGGCTTCTAATATTTTCTATCATTGTTCCCTATGAGATTTCGTTTTTGAAGTTAGGAGTAAATCAGAACTAAGCTGCTTGTATGAGACACTTTGTTTTGTTTTACTCGTCCTCCAAGAAGCTTGGCTATATCATTAACACCCACCAGTACTTGTTAACCCAAATGGTAAAACTCACGTTTCAGGACTTAGCTAATCTGGTTTTCGAATGCTCAGTGATAGGACTTTTTGAAAATCTTTTTATTGAAGTATAATTTGTATCATAAAAGTACACCATTCATAAATGTACTGCTCAAATTGAACACACTTGTGTAACCAGCACCCAGATCAAGACAGAATATTGTAAGCTCCTTTATGACCTCTTCATGCCCCCTTCCTGTCACTTCCCCTCCTCTATCCAAACTTCTGATAAGTTGAATCACACACTATGTTTTTTGTGTCTGTCCTCTTTCACCCAATATTATGTTTGAGATTCATCTGTATGGTTCTGCATAGTTGTAGATCTGAACTCCATAATTTTAAAGAATTACCATAGTCAGTTGTAAGTACCTTGAAGATATAAACCCAAACTGTTTGGTAACAACTCTAAATATATTCCCTAATAATTTGTGCCTAATACTTACATAATTTATTATCTAATTACATTTTGACCTATTCCAGTTAAGGATATCTGGTAGATATCCTTAGAGGATAATCAAAGATGCTGAAAATTAGACAAGTTCATAATGACCTGTCACCTTTTAGGACTGGATTTCAGGTTTAGATGAACACCTAAAGACATGCTTATAAAATGTTCAGATGACATTAAAGCAGGAAGTCATAGCTATTACTGGATGACAGCATTTATAAATTTAACATTGTCTGAAGCATATGCAGAAATTGAGAAACTGAAAGAACTTGTATATAAATTCAGGGAGGTTGAAACTTAGGTTGAATAGGTAGAGTAAAAAATACCTAGATGTATTGGTTGACTGCATTTTATAGTATTGGTTAGCAAGTGAGAAACCTGCCACAAAAGCTAATGTAATTTTAGGCAATGTTTATATAACTAGAATAAATAGGAAAAGATTGTGACTGACCTGTTGTACTCCATTTCTGTAGGATAGATACTCTAAATACAAAGCTAACTAGAAAATCTACTTTCTTTATACCCCACTTGAACAGCAAGGTAGGTGCTTCAAAGGCAGACTTGAGCTTACTTTCTAAAAGTAGAAGGGCCTCCTGAAAATAGTCTTTTGCTATCACTAGAAACAATAAAGCTGTCTTCCTGGCTATTA